GCGGGAAGGGCGTTCCACAGCCGAGGGGCCACCACGGAGAAGGCCCTGTCTCTCGTCCCCGCCAGCCGTGCTTGTGAGGCTGGCGGGATCGAGAGCAGGTCCTCCCCGGACGATCTTAATGTCCTAACTGGTTGATAGGAGGAGATGCGTTCGGACAGGTAGGTTGGGCCAGAACCGTTTAGAGCTTTAAAGGCTAAAGCCAGCACTTTGAATTGTGCCCGGTAGCAGATTGGCAGCCAGTGGAGCTGGCTCAACAGAGGAGTGGTATGCTCCCTGAGTGCCGCTCCTGTTAACAGCCTGGCTGCCGATCGTTGGACCATTTGTAACTTCCGAGCAGTCTTCAGAGGCAACTCCACGTAGAGAGCGTTGCAGTAGTCTATACGGGATGTAACCAGTGCGTGGACTACCGTGGCCAAGTCAGGATTGGCTAGATTAAAAGGACGCCTCTCTCCACGTCCATCCATCCCCTTTCAAGGCAATGAGATCTGCATCCATTGAGGGGTCTCAGTTACACTTTTTTTATTTCTACCTCATCCAGGGTTTTATCATTTTACCTCGTCCATTTGGCCTGTCCACTGTGCCTGATTTCATGCTATATCAATTTCCTTTATTTATTTCACTTTGCTACTGTATGTATTTTATTCTGATATAATTTTTGTTGTCTGTTTTTTTGCAAATTTTTTTGTTGCATTGTATCTTTGGGCGTGGCCTCATGTTAGTCGCCCCGAGTCCCCTTTGGGGAGATGATGACGGGGCATAAATAATAATAATAATAATAATAATAATAATAATAATAATCTTTCTCCCCTTAATCAAACTAGACAAGCTGACACCCTTTCTCCTTGGGCCATCACAAGAGGGCTTCAGAAATAAAAGGAAGGGAGGGCAATTAGGAATATGGGAACCAGATTGCTCTAAGACAGCATTTCTCAACCTGGGGGTCAGGACCCTTGGGAGGGGGTCGTGAGGGAGTGTCAGAGGGGTCGCCAAAGACCATCAAAAAACACAGTATTTTCTATTGGTCATGGGGGTTCTGTGTGGGAAGTTTGGCCCAATTCTATTGTTGGTGGGGTTCCGAAAGCTCCCAAACGCCAAGTGTACTTTCCCTACACTCCACCAATGTCCATATTTAAACATATTGATTTTCATGCCAAGTTTGGTCCAGATCCATCATTGTTTGAGTCCACAGTGCTCTCGGGACGTAGGTGAACTACAACTCCAAAACTCGAAAGCCTTCCAGCATTTTCCGTTGGTCATGGGAGTTCTGTGTTCCAAGTTTGGTTCAATTCCATTGTTGGTGGAGTTCAGAATGTTCTTTGATTGCAGATGAACTATAAATTCCAGCAACTACCACTCCCAAGTGATGGAACCCTCAATCCCCCTCAATCCCACCAGTATTCGAATTTGGGCGTATTGGGTCTTTGTGCCAAATTTGGTCCAATGAATGAAAATATATCCTGCATAACAGTAGCAAAATTACAGTTGTGAAGTAGTAATGGAAATAATTTTATGGTTGGGGGGTCACTACAACATGAGGAACTGTATTAAGAAGTCACAGCATTAGGAAGATTGAGAACCACTGCCCTAGGGGGTAGTTATTCAAAGATGAAGAAGGAGAAGAAGCCCCCCACCACCACCACCACCACCACCACAAATGGGCAAAAGCCTATCTCTGCCTTGAATGGCCACAGGGATGCCCAGGGAGGCCAGACGCTGAGCAGAGCGAACCCTTCTTAGCGGTGCCTCTTACCTTCTGAGCAGCGGTTCGTAATTCGGCTAGGGCCCCCGCCAGGTTCTTGGCGCATTGGCTGAGCTGCATGGCGGAGGCCTGGTCTGCAATGGTGGGCACTGTGGCCTTGGCAGCCGCCACCATCTTTCCTCCCGGCTGCAGGGAAGGAAGCAGAAGGGGAAATCGTCAGGAGGACCGTTCCGGGAGCAGAGGAAGTCCTGGACCGTAGCCTTGCGGGCACAACTCAGGACAGTAATAGAATTCAACAAACAGTTATATAAACATGTTGTACTGTTCAACTTCACAGTGATATCAAACAATATTGTGCAAATTTTGGTACAGTTCCTTTGATGGAGATACCACTGAGCCAAAAATCTGTATCCCCTGAGGAGATCAAATTCTCAAGTGTATAACTTTGTAAGTAGGTTCTTGTGGGTTTTTTCGGGCTATAGGGCCATGTTCTAGAGGCATTACATGCCTCTAGAACAGGTCGGGAACCTTTGGCCCTCCAGCTGTGGTGGACTTCAACTCCCACAATTCCTTGAGGCTCGGCATTCGCCCCAAAGGCTTACCTTGGCCCAACGAGGTTTGTTTGGCTCTTTTTCATGGAGGACGGGCAGCAAAGGGGGAGAGACGAGCGTAACGTAGCTGTGCAGATGGCGAGGAAGGATGCGGAGCCCACAGACTGGCCTCGGAGGGAGAGAGCGGGCGGAAACCCCTGCGGGCAACGCGCTTCCTCGCCGCTTCGGCCCTTAGCACCCGCCCCGCATGGACCCCCTCCCTAGCAACGACGCCGGCTGAGTGACGTCGTGCAGAGCTTGTCGGGGAAAAGGGAAGGCGAAGGCTGGAGGGAAAGGGCTCTGCGCTGTTTAAGCGGCGAGGAGGCGCGTTGCCCGCAGGGGTTTCCGCCCGCTCTCTCCCTCCGAGGCCAGTCTGTAGGCTCCGCATCCTTCCTCGCCATCTGCACAGCTACGTTACGCTCGTCTCTCCCCCTTTGCTGCCCGTCCTCCATGAAAAAGAGCCAAACAAACCTCGTTGGGCCAAGGTAAGCCTTTGGGGCGAATGCCGAGCCTCAAGGAATTGTGGGAGTTGAAGTCCACCACAGCTGGAGGGCCAAAGGTTCCCGACCCCTGCTCTAGAACATGGCCCTATAGCCCAAAAAAAACCCACAAGAACCTAGTGATTCCAGCCATGAAAGCCTTCGACAACTTTGTAAGTACTTAAATGTGTTGTAACTTATGGTATTTAATGGATATGTTCAACAAATATTGTTGTAATAACAAGGGTGAAGACTTAACTAATTTCTTAATGTGCAAAATACTTTAATATTTAATACTTCTACAAAATAATCATTTTTAACATAGTAATTTTCAAACTCTCACAGCCACATTTCGTTCCTTTGATGTAGATACCACTGAGCCAAAAATCTGTATCCCCTGAGGAGATCAAATTCTCAAGTGTATAACTTTGTAAGCACTTAAATGTGTTGTAACTTATGGTATTTAATGGATATGATCAACAAATATTGTTGTAATAACAAGGGTGAAGACTTAACTAATTTCTTTGAGTACATTTCAGTATAAGATGTTCTATACGTATGCAACTGGAGCAAAATATTGATTTATACATTAATTTCAGTCCACCAGAAGAAGGCCTGAAGTAGGCCGAAGCCGGTCGTGGACGGCTGATCTATAAGCTACTCAACATAAGAAGATACGACTGTTCCAAAATTTGCACAATATTGTTTGATATCACTGTGAAGTTGAACAGTACAACATGTTTATATAACTGTTTGTTGAATTCTATTATTGTTTACCTTATATAAGTGGTATTTTTGTTGTATGCACTTCATTCAGGAACCCATTTATATTATATTACAACTCAGGACAGGCCATGTCTTTGGACTTAGAATCATAGAATCAAAGAGTTGGAAGAGACCTCGTGGGCCATCCAGTCCAACCCCATTCTGCCAAGAAGCAGGAGTATTGCATTCAAATCACCCCTGACAAATGGCCATCCAGCCTCTGCTTAAAAGCTTCGAAAGAAGGAGCCTCCACCACACTCCCTCTGGGGCAGAGAGTTCCACTGCTGAACGGCTCTCACAGTCAGGAAGTTCTTCCTCATGTTCAGATGGAATCTCCTCTCTTGTAGTTTGAAGCCATTGTTCCATTGCGTCCTAGTCTCCAGGAAGCAGAAAACAAGCTTGCTCCCTCCTCCCTGTGGCTTCCTCTCACATATTTATACATGGCTATCATATCTCCTCTCAGCCTTCTCATTCTTCAGGCTAAACATGCCCAGTTCCCTAAGCCGCTCCTCATAGGGCTTGTTCTCCAGACCCTTGATCATTTTAGTCGCCCTCCTCTGGACACATTCCAGCTTGTCAATATCTCTCTTGAATTGTGGTGCCCAGAATTGGACACAATATTCCAGATGTGGTCTAACCAAAGCACAATAGAGGGGTAGCATTACTTCCCTAGATCTAGACACTATGCTCCTATTGATGCAGGCCAAAATCCCATTGGCTTTTTTTGCCGCCACATCACATCGTTGGCTCATGTTTAACTTGTTGTCCACGAGGACTCCAAGATCTTTTTCACACGTACTGCTCTCGAGCCAGGCGTCACCCATTCTGTATCTTTGCATTTCCTTGCTGTATCCTTGCTCACCTGCAGGAAGTTCTGGCTGGCAGAGATGAGGGAGAGCTGGGCGCTGGGGCTGTCCGGCTGGGCCTGGCTCCCACGCACCCCCTGCACCAGCATCGGGATCTGCTCGGCCACCACCTGCGGAGAAAGGAGGATGAGGAAGGGGATGGGGGTAGCCCCAACAACACAAGGAGGTCACCCAAGGAAACAATATGGGGAGGTCACACCAAGGATGTAATATAGGATTCAAAGTGCTGGCGTTGACCTTTAAAGCCCTAAACGGTTCCGGCCCAAGCTACCTATCTGACCGCATCTCTGCCTATGAACCCACCAGGAGTTTGAGATCTTCCGGGGAGACCCTGCTCTCGATCCCGCCTGCTTCTCAAGCTTGGCTGGCGGGGACAAGAGATAGGGCCTTCTCGGTGGTGGCTCCTCGGCTGTGGAACGCCCTTCCTACGGACATTAGACTGGCACCATCTCTAATGGTATTCCGCAAAAACGTGAAGACCTGGTTGTTCGAGCAGGCGTTCGAATAGTTAGTGCAATGAGTGTAATGAACATAGGAATGGAACAATGGATGACGGATCTGGACCATGTTTTCAGTGAAGAGACGCCAGTGAATGGCTATTGTTGTTAGTTATATAGGATTGTTTAGGTGTTATGATGTTACTGTTTCTTTACCGTGTACTGTATTTTTGTTGTTCTGTTGTTAACCGCTGTGAGTCGCCTAAGGGCTGAGAACAGCGGTATACAAATAAAGTAAATAAATAAATAAATAAATAAATAAATAAATAAATAGGAGGCTGCTACGAGGAAGCAATATGGGGAGGTCAAAAATGGAAAAAAAATCGTGTCAGGAGCAACTTGAGAAACTGCAAGTCGCTTCTGGTGTGAGAGAAGTGGCCGTCTGCAAGGACGCTGCCCAGGGGACATTGCCCAATGTTTGATATTCTACCATCCTTGTGGGAGGCTTCTCTCATGTCTCCGCATGGGGAGCTGGAGCTGACAGGGGAAGCTCAACCTGCTCTCCCTGGATTTGAACCGCTGACCTCTCGTTCAGCAGTCCTGCCGGCATAAGGCTTTAACAGTGCACCTCTGGGGGCTCCAAAAATGCAATATAGGAAGAGTGCTCCAAGGAAGCAATATGTGAGGTCACTCCAACAAAGCCTGTTTAGAGAAACAGGAGGGACGCCACCAGACAGCGTTCTTCACAACAACTGAGTATAATGTATTGTCGAAGGCTTCCATGGCTGGAATCACTCAGTTCTTGTGGGTTTTTTCGGGCTATATGGCCATGTTCTAGAGGCATTTCTCCTGACGTTTTGCCTGCATCTATGGCAAGCATCCTCAGAGGTGAGGTCTCACTCACCTCTGAGGATGCTTGCCATAGATGCAGGCGAAACGACAGGAGAAATGCCTCTAGAACATGGCCATATAGCCCGAAAAAACCCACAAGAACGAACTGAGTATAATGTTTTTAAACCTTTTAAATGCTTAAAATGTATTTAATTTAATCTTAACTTTAATGTTACTGGAATTGTATGAGTTTTAAGGCATTAATTAATTGCCTATATGTAAGCTGCCTCGAGTCTCTTTCGGGGTAGAGAAAGGTGGAGTATAAACAGGGTAAATAAATAAACAACAGGCATTGCTGAGCAGGACAAGCAGTCCATCTCCAAAGGTCCACTGACTGATTGCCCCCCACAACCTTGAGTCGGACCCAGGGAACCTTTGCTAATGAGAAACACACTGACCCTGGCGATGCCCCTTGGCCAAAACTCTCTTTCCTCTGAGAGCAAGATTTATGGTCTGCGAAGCTGAGAGTCCAAGGTGACCCTGGGCCAGCCCTCCCCATGCACTTTGCCTTGCAGGGCTGCCCTGCTTCAGTGAAACCACCCCACTGCAGGCCTCTGACAAAACTGGGGTGAGGGGGCACCCCCTCCCGTCCCTTGCTCCCGCTCACCTTGCAACTCTGGGCCAACTGCTGATGGGCAGCCGGGTTCTTGTTGGTCGTGGCAGCGTGCTGGGCAGCGGCAATGGTCTGGGTGGCGGCAGCAGCTGCCAGTTTGGCTGCATGCTGGAAATGGGGATGTGGAGAGGAAAAGAGGGGGAAATTAAGTCATTTGGGGGGGGGGGCACTCAGGACAGCCTCGGCTGAGGGGAGCGGTCTCAGGTGAGCTTAAAAGGCTCACCTGCCGCTGGGTCTCCCGCTTCCCACCCATCCCAGGATATAACCCCCGACACGGACCTCCAGCCTGTGGACCAGCTTCTTCTTGATGGCGTTCTGGGCTGCTGCGTTGGTGGCCATCCGGAGCCCTTCAGCCGCCTCCCGCAAGCGCTGCTGCTGCTCCTCGCTGTCCGGGTGGGCCGCAGCCCCCTTTTGGGTATTGAGGATGACCCGTCACAACAGCCTCTCTCTCCCGCTCAGCTTTGCACCCATGCCCACTTCCACCTCCCTACCCCAAACAATGGTAAATGAACCAGGTCAGGCATGGGCCAACTTCGGCCCTCCTCCAGGTGTTTTGGACTTCAACTCCTATAATTCCTAATAGCCGGTTTGCTCTTACTCAAGTCAGAGTTACCTATGCCAATACCCTGTGATATTGTTATAAGTTCGAAGCCCCTAGTTGGTGTGAGCTGCCAACTGTCAGCCTAGCTCATTGCTTACCTAAGCAATTCAAAAACAGCTTTAGCTGTGATTAGAGAAATTAGGTACCGCTAAAAGCGGGGGAGGTGTTTTATGACACCATAAAGAAAGCAGATCAGAAAATGCTGGACGATCAAAAGGAAAAAGCAAGTCCTGATAGCTCTTTGTCATAGAGGATAGAGTAACAGCACTCCCTGGACTCCAGCCCAACCTTCCAAGGCACCTCCTTCTGTTTTGTCTGTCTGTGTATTGTCTATACAAAGCGGCATTGAATGTTTGCCATGTTTGTGTGCTGTGATCTGCCCTAAGCCCCCTTCGGGGTGAGAAGGGTGGAATATAAATAAAGTATTATTATTATTATTATTATTATTATTATTATTATTATTATTATCATTAATGCCCTCAAGATGAGGGAGGACGCAACCTACAGGTAGCTATTCCATCCCATCCCATCTTTAATCTCAAATTGCAGATTATCTGGCATTGTGCCTCATATAATCCAGTTTAATGCAGAAAACCTGGGATCAGATCCTGGGATATAGAACCTATCTGGAAGGGTCCTCAGATACCTCAACCATCTCACGAGACAGTTGAGATGGGAACTTTGCAAACTATCCGAGACTGTCTTCTCTGAATAGACCTCAAAGAGGCATATCTTCATGAACCCATGGAAGGATCGGACAGATAGTTTTCTGAGATTTCAGGTTCAGAGTCAGCATTCCCTATTCAAGGTTCTCCCATTTGGACTAGAATTGGCACCGTGAGTTTCTGCAAAGACGCTAGCACCTCTGAATATCTATTTCAGAGAAAGGGAAGTGTGTCCGCATTCCTATCTGGGTGAGGAATGTGGGCAGGCTCATGGCCACTCGGCCACTTTCCCCTGACCTTGCTTCCCTAGTGAACTGCCTTTCAGGAACTTAGCCTTTGGGCACAGACTGCTCATTTTCAGGACTTAAAATCTCAGAATCCCCAGTGTCATCAGAATGACTTGCAGGCCCAGAATCCCCAGAGAAATCAAGTGCAGGCACAATCAAATGCTGAAGCATAACATGTATATAGAGCGCAACAAGGGGCAGAGGGAACCCTGTGGGGCATGTCTCTCATCTGGTTACCTGCCACTGTTTCTTAGAGCCACGTAACTCAAAGTGTTTAGCTTCCTGCCTGGACTGAACAGGTCACTTCTCCCTCTTTTCTTCCCAAAAGTTTTAGTGCTTTATTAGCCTTTGTTTACGAAAAAACATGAACTTTCTCTTTGCACCCCTATCTGGGCAAGGAATGTTGTCAGGCTCATGACCACCCAGCCACTCCCCGCAAACCTCGATCCATCCCCTCCTGGCCCCTGGGACCCCTTCTTTTTCCTTGCCCTCCCTCTCCCTCCAATGCCCTCCAGGACAGACCTTGGCGGCTTCCACCATCTTGGCCGTGGCATCTGCTAGGATCTTGGCTGCGCTGAGCAGCTTGCGCGAGTTCTCCAGGTCCGTCTCCCCCTCGGCATCGGCCTTGATGGCATTCACCAGGTCGGAGGTGGCCTGGGCCAGGATCCGGGCCTGGCGCACCATTTCCCCTAAGAGAGGAGAGTAAGGAGTAACTCAGAAACAGAGTCGTTGGAAGAGACCCCTGAGGGCACCCAACCTGACCCCTGCCATGTAGGAATAGAGGGAGAGCCCTACTCTATGTGCCCATGTTTCAAAGTTTTACACTCCTGGTCTATGACTTACCTGTCTGAATGAATCTCCCCTTATGAACCTGCTAGGACAGTGGTTCTCAACCTGGGGTCCTCAGATTTTGGCCTTCAACTCCCACAAATTCTAACAGCTGGTAAACTGGCTAGGATTTCTGGGAGTTGTAGGCCAAAAACATCTGAGAACCACTGTGCTAGGACTTTAAGATCATCTGCTCTCAATCCCAAATATGTTTGGCGGGGATGAGAGACAGGGCCTTCTCAATGGTGGCCCCTCGGGTTTGGAACGCCCTTCCTGGGGACATTAGATTGGCCCCCTCCCTCTTAACATTCCAGAAAAGAGCCAAGACCTGGCTGTTTGAGCAAGCGTTTGAAAACGCAATATAGAAGACATAGGAACTTGGAACGACTGGATGGATAATGTTTTTAATTAGGAGACAGAAATGGCTTATGTTTTTATTACTTTTGTTTGGTTTTATACTATGTATTAATATTTTAAAAGTTTTATGGTGTTCTTGGGCATCGAATCGTTGCCTCTGTAAAACTGCCCTGAGTCGCCTGAGGGCTGAGAAGGGCGGTATACAAATAGAGTAAATAAATAAATAAATATGTCATTAAAAACTCTGAAAATGAAATTAAAATCTGTTGAAAGAAAAAAGAGAGCACAATACAAAACTTTAAAAAACCCAATTAAATAGTACAAGTGTGGTAAAAGTGTACAAATACACTTAAAACAGCCTTTAAAACCAATACATACGCACAGACCCCAATCCCACCCACCACCTCCCCAAGGCCCACCCCCAACCCTTCCCCAAGTGCCTGCTGGCAAAGGAAGGTCTTGCTGGTGCCGCCCAGTTCCTCACCTGCGTCCCCCATGGAGCTGAAGATGTTCTCGGTGACGTTGAGGATGGTGTCGGTGGCCTGGTCGTAGCGGCCGATGGGCTGGCCGCCCATGGCGTGCTGCTTGATGTGCTCCAGCAGGTCGTTGAGGGCCTGGGTGACCGCCGTGGCAGCCACCCCCACTTGCTTCAGGAGCTGCTCATCGCCTGTGGCCGCCTGGGAGGCATCCACGCAGCCCTCCACCGACTTGGCCACCAGCTTCCCAGCCTCCACCAGCTGCTCCTGGCAAACGGGGGAGCTGATCGTGGGAGCCACCACCTGCCACGGGAGGAAGGAAACAGCACTGGAAAGTTAGCAAGAGGCAGAGCCTGACCCAGGAGAGCGGCCTAGCCGCTGCAAGAGAACAAGGGGGGCAGTGTGTTGTGGCTGAGCTAGTTTCTGAGGATGAGGATGATGGGATTCAGATTCCTGTTGGGTTTCAGCTTCCTGGCTCTTTGTCTGTGCCTCAAATCTCTGAGCCTGCTTCTGAGGCTCTCACAGACAGTGCAGTGTCAACACAGCTGTTTTCACCAGAAAGGAATTTGAACAAAGGAAATAGTGGCCAGGTGCCTTCCCACGATTATACAGAAAGTATAGATAAGGATTTGACCCGAGAAGCTCGCCTTGATCTCCGGATCAGGTGCAGTTTGCGCCTGGCAAGCAGACGGGAAGCTAGCCCGGTGCAAGGTCATTGCAATGCTTTTATGATGCTGACAGCTTAATGTTTTGATGTTGGGAAGGTATTTAGACCTCCTGGAAACTCTGTGAAAGTGGTAGTTAGCTAGTAGACGAGAGGCCAGGTAGGGGAAAGGTCATGGGACCAATGTGAGAACAGAATGTTTTCATGATTAGAAAAAGGTATTTAGGCTTCTTGCAAACCAAGGGAAAGTGTCAGTTCAACGTAGCTTATTAGCCTGAAAGCTTCATGGAATAACCTTAGTCTGGAGAGCAGTACGCTTGGGATTTCTTGCATTGTGATTCTTGGGGCAAATGTTTCATTGCTTGTACCTGGGACTCTGGTTTGAACTTTGCCAATAGGATTATGTCTCCTGCTTTTACCTGAAGATCTTTGGAACTGTATTCTGCATTTAACCTTAATCTCTGGGACTTTGCAATGCTTATTCTTTATTTTGACTTGGATTTTCTCCTCAATAAACTATAAAACTACAACTCTTGTGTGTGAAAAACAATCCTTTTTTTTGAAGAAAAATGGTTACAAAATAAAGGAAAAATACAAAGTCAAAAGCCACAGCAAAATCAGCAAACATGAATTTAAATGGACAAAGCAAAACCAAAAGCCTCACTGTGAAATACTGGAACCTGTTAGCAATCCACTAACCGTACTTGATATCCTAGAAATCTTTCAAGACCATGGCCAGGGAAACCGGGAGAACTGCCAAGGTCTTCATCAATCTGAAACGATGCCTGAACTGAGACAGTCAGCCCGGCAGAAGGCACTTAAAGCCAAGAATTGGTTCCGTGAACCGCCCTTCTGTTTTGAAGCCAATGTTTTTAATTCTTGAATTCGGGAGGATCGACGCAAACTGAGTGATTTACTTCTGTCTTCCCAAATTTGGCCCCTTCTGTTGTCATTACAGTTAACAGGTGCAGAAGGGAGGGAAAGTTCAAGGTCTCCCTCTGAAACATTCTCAGGAACACTGGTACTTTCATTTTCCAAATCTACAGAAGTTCCTTCCTCACTAATTTCAGGAACATTGGCATTTTCCAAACCTACAGCAGTTTCTTCCTCACTAATTGGCATTGGCATCAAAAGGTACATTTCCATTAGCATCAGTAAATATATTTTCATTAGCATCAGGAGGAACAAACAGAGAATCAGGTTCAAGTTCAAACTCAGGCTGAACCCCAACACTTGGATTGTTTCCTCAATAAACTGTAAAACTACAGCTCTTGTGTGGTGGCGTTTGAAAGCAAGGTGAAGCCTACTCTGAGTTGCAACACAGTGACTCCAATGCATGTGCCCCATCTGCCGTGGCAGGAAGACACACTTGGGTGACACCTATGGCTAGGGAACTGCCCTCAAGGGATCATGAGGCCAGAAGGGTGCCACTCACCTTGGTGCAGGCCACCAGCTGGGAGGTGGAGAGGGCGCACTGGGTGGCCGCCGCGATCACCTGTGTCTGCAGCACCGAGTCGTCCGTCTTCTGGGCCACGTTCTTGGCCTGCAGGACCAAGGCGGCCGCTGCGCTGGCCACGGCTTTGGCCAGCTGCATCAGCATGTCCTGAGGAAGGAGGAAGAGATCAAGGGAGGAAGAGACCCAAGGGAGACGATCACAACACCGCTCATGAAACTTTCAGCAGGGAAACCCAATCCTGCGCAGTGAAAGGTGACCTTGCGCCACCGGAGAAACCTGATGCTGCATCTCTCTCTCTCACCCGACACACACCTGAAGGCACCGCCCTGACCAACTGACCGCTCGGCCTTCCAGGCACCATCCTTTGCAGCATTCTGAACCCTACAAATGATAGAATTGGGCCAAACCTCCCACACAGAACCCCCATGACCACCAGAGTGGGCCACAGCAACGTGTGGCAGGGGACAGCTAGTCTTCAAAGCTAGTCAGCTTTGCTTATTAAAGAACACTAGCAGTCCCCTGGCACGTGTCGCTGTGGCCCAGTCTGTATATGTGCTTTGTGTGTGTATATATGCATATGTGTGTATAGATTTGTGTATATGTATATATATGTGTGTTTGTGTATGTGTGATTTTGCACATGCGTTGTAATGCATTTTTTTTATCTTTTGGCTTTTTAAGTCTCTTCTGCTGTGTTTTCCAGTGTTTTTATGAGTGGTGGTCACTCGATGGCCTGAGAGGTGTCTTGTGTCCAAATTTGGTGTCAATTCACCCAGTGGTTTTTGAGTTATGTTAATCCTACAAACGAACATTACATTTTTATTTATATAGATTGGTGTGTTTGTGGGTTCAAAGGTGCCTACCGCAATCTCGGTGTGCAACAACTCCCGCAAGAACAGGAGTTTTATGACTGCACAGAACCCGACAGCGGAGCCCCTGGTAGCGCAATGGCTTAGGACTGCTGACCAAAATGTCAGCGGTTTGAAACTGGTGAGCAGGGTGAGTGCCCCTCTGACAGCTCCAGCTTCCCATGTGGGGTCGTGAGAGAAGTCTCCTGCAGGATGGTAACACATCTAGGCAACATCCTTGCAGACAGCCAACTCTCTCACACCAGAGGTGACTTGCAGTTTCTCAAGTTGCTCCTGACACGGAAAAAAACAAACCCTGACACCCTTTACACCCACACATATATACACACACACATTACACAGCTAGTGCTGCTACTGCAGTCCATCACCGTCCAGCTACGAACACACCTGAACCTCCACCGAAGCTCAAGCCCACCACCATCACCAAACCTCTGGCCTTGATCAAAGGCTGGAGAGGGCCATGCGCCACGCCTGCCACCAAGAGCAAGAGCCAGAGCCCAACACAAAGAGTTTTCCTCAAGGAGAGAGAGAAAGAGAGAAAATGGAAAAGAAAGGAGTGCCTGAATTTTCCAAAAAGATGGCAAGAGGTACACGGGTGGAGAAGAGCCACTAGTGTGCACGCTAGTCCTCCCGGGGCCAGCAAATGCCAGCAAATGCTGGAGGAAACCAGGCCTATGGCCAGTGCTTTCCTTTTGGGAAAAAATATTGAAGAAATGGAAAACTATTTAAAATATCTGGGTTGTTGTAGGTTTTTCGGGCTATATGACCATGTTCTAGAGGCATTTTCTCCTGACGTTTCGCCTGCATCTATGGCAAGCATCCTCAGAGGTAGTGAGGTCTGTTGGAAGTAGGAAAATGGGTTTATATATCTGTGGAATGACCAGGGTGGGACAAAGGACTCTTGTCTGTTGGAGCTAGATGTGAATGTTTCAACTGACCACCTTGATTAGTATTTCATGGCCTGGCAGTGCCTGGGGAAATATAAATACTGTAAACAAACAAATGAACAAACAAACAAACAAACAAATAAAAGAAGCACGTGATCTGGGCAGTAGATGGAGGGGGCGGGATGTTTTTATAATCATAATTAAAATTATTTTAAAAATAAAAGAAAGAGAGTGGGGTGCAGATGTGGGGTGTCAGAAGGAGCAGAGTCCAAAGAGACCTATATATATGTATATATATTGGGGGGGGGGGAAGGAGAGAGAGAGGGAAGCAGAGCCCCAAGCCCCATGATTGGAGCTGCCACGGCCAGGAGCCACCGGGCCCTTTACCGTCTTCGGCTTGGGAGCGGACAGGCTCTGCAGGCGCCGGCTCTCCGCCATCTGCACGTGAATCCACAACACAAGGTTGGTGACGGATTGGAGCCCACCCTCCTCCCGCCTGCAGCCAGCCCCCCAACTGCCCCAGACAGGGCAAAGGAGACCCTCAGAGGGGCCCTTCCTCAGCAATATCAGTCCCAGGCCTGGAAAGTGTGGCTCACCTGGAAGTGGGGGTCCGTGTCACTCTCCCCAATCTGCTGCAGCAGCTCCCCACTCGTCTGCCCCACGGCCCCCGCTGCCTGAAGCAAGTTCTGACGAGGCTGAAAGAAAGGAAGAAAGGAGGGAATCAAGGGGGAGTCAGGAAAGGGTCCAACCAATCTCCCCCTATGAACTGGAGCGGGCTCTATCATCTGCTGGGGAGGCCCTCCTCTCGTTCCCACCTCCGCCTCAAAAGCACGGCTAGTTCGGATAAGAGAGAGGGCCTAAGATCTGCTGGGGAAGCCCTCCTCTCAGTCCCACCTCCGCCTCAAAAGCCAGGCTAGTGCGGATGAGAGAGAGGGCCTAAGATCTGCTGGGGAGGCCCTCCTCTCGGTCCCACCTCCGCCTCAAAAGCATGGCTAGTGCGGACGAGAGAGAGGATCTAAGATCTGCTGGGGAGGCCCTCCTCTCGGTCCCACCTCCGCCTCAAAAGCACAGCTAATGCGGACGAGAGAGAGGGCCAAAGATCTGCTGGGGAGGCCCTCCTCTCGGTCCCACCTCCGCCTCAAAAGCACGGCTAGTGCGGACGAGAGAGGGAGCCTAAGATCTGCTGTGGAGGCCCTCCTCTCGGTCCCACCTCCGCCTCAAAAGCACGGCTAGTTCGGATAAGAGAGAGGGCCTAAGATCTGCTGGGGAAGCCCTCCTCTCAGTCCCACCTCCGCCTCAAAAGCCAGGCTAGTGCGGATGAGAGAGAGGGCCTAAGATCTGCTGGGGAGGCCCTCCTCTCGGTCCCACCTCCGCCTCAAAAGCACGGCTAGTGCGGATGAGAGAGAGGGCCAAAGATCTGCTGGGGAGGCCCTCCTCTCGGTCCCACCTCTGCCTCAAAAGCATAGTTGGTGGAGACAATAGAGAGAGAGAGGGCCTTCTTGGTGGTGGCCCCCCAGCTCTGGAACGCCCTCTTCAGAGAAATTAGGCTAGTCCCCACACTCCAATGTATTCAGAAAAAAAATGAAAACATGGCTCTTCAAGCTTTGCTGCTGTGTCAGACTGGATGAGAGCTAACAAATTGAAACTGAATCCAGACAAGACAGAGGTCCTACTGGTCAGTTGTAAGGCCGAGCAGGGTATAGGGTTACAGCCTGTGTTAGACGGGGTTCCACTCCCCCTGAAGACGCAGGTTCGCAGCTTGGGAGTGATCCTGGACTCATCGCTGAGCCTGGAAGCCCAGGTCTCGGTGGTGGCCGGGAGAGCTTTTGCACAATTAAAACTTGTGCACCAGTTGCGCCCGTACCTTGGGAAGTCTGATCTGGCCACAGTGGTCCACGCTCTTGTTACATCCCGAATAGACTACTGCAACGCGCTCTACGTGGGGTTGCCTTTTGAAGACTGTTCGGAAACTTCAATTAGTCTAACAGGTGGCAGCTAGACTACTCACCGGAGCGTCATGCAGGGAGCATACCACCCCTTCACCAGGCATTGTTGTGGCTGTATTTTAATCCCCAGCTACCGCTGCATATTTTATTTATTTAAATGAGAAGAGGTTTATTTCCTGTTTTCAGGAAATATATTTGCTTTAAGTAAATGGTTACTGTTCTATGTATTTTTCTATATCTTGTGTATTCTGTTGCACTACTATGCACTTTTGTAAGCCACCCCGAGTCCCTCTTAGGAGATGGTGGCAGGATAGAAATAAAGTTGTACTATTATTGCTCAGACGTCGGACACTTCCCAAGAGGGACTCGAGGCGGTTTACGAAAGTGCGTAGTAGTGCAACAGAATACACAAGATACAGAAAAATACATAAAACAGTAACAATTTACATTATATATATATATATATATATATATATATATATATATATATAAAAAACAGGATATTATTATTAATGATATTATTATTTTACTGACACAAAAAGACAATATGTCACAGCAAATGAGATCTATTTATTGATGTTTAATTGATTGTTTATTATGCTATTGTTTTAATTGTTTTTAACTGTTTTATGATGTTTCGAGCATTGGATTTTGCTACTGTTAACCGCTTTGAGTCGCCCAGGGGCTGAGAAAAGCGGTATACAAATATAGTAAATAAATTATATATATATATATATATATATATATATATATATATACATACATACACACACACACACACACACATATATATGCTGGATTTCGCATATATTTTGTTTGCTGTGACATACTGTGTTTTTGTGTCAGTAAAATAAATTATTGTTATTATTATTACTATTTGAAACACAACAAGATGAGTCCACAGCAGACATTCTGCTGGTTGTTGTATTGTCTAGGACTGTGTGATGTATCGGCGAATAATGCATGCAAGTAGGGTGGCCTTTTGCAGTTGGCAGGTGGTAATTTTATCAGAACCGATTGTGTTTAAGTGCAGGCCAAGGTCTTTAGGCACTGCACCCAGTGTGCCGATCACCACTGGGACCTCCTTGACTAGCTCATGCAACAACAGTCTTTGCAGTTCAATCTTTGAATCCTTGTATCGTGTCATCTTTTCCAGTTGTTTCTCTTCAATCCTGCTTTCACCATACTTTGTTTTTTAATTAATAATTATATTATTATTATTATTATTATTATTATTATTATTATTATTATTTATAACCAGCTTTTTTCTCCACCAGGAGACTCAGAGCAATTCAGTATCATTACTATATATATATATATATATATATATATATATATATACACACACACACACACACACACACACACACACACACACACACACATACATACATATATATTTCAGCAATGGAAAAAACCAAGGTATTTTCCAATACACAACTTCTCCCACTAAAAACACCTCCAGAGTGGTGTGCTAAAGGGGACCCCGGCCCACAATTCCTAAGCAACAACCCACCCAGGAGGGGCCTCCAGAGCCTGTGCGACTCGTTGCCTCCGCACCCCCTTTGCCTCCCCAAACAAAGCAGCTTTGTCTTCATGATGCCAAATGTTCCAGAAACAGAGCTTAACACCGATTTAGTTTCGGCAAGGCTTCTGGAGCAGGAGAAACGCGTGGAATTTCCCCAGGAATGTGCTGTTGAACAGAAGCCGCTCAAAGGCAGGGGCTGCAATGTGATCAGTGGAGGGGTGGGGAAAGGTCAAGAGCACAGAACCCCCAAATCACTCAGGAAAGCCCACAAGGGACTATATGGAGGCCTCCCTTGGGCCACTCTACCGCCACCTCTCACCTCAGCGCTGGAGGGCTGTGCCGTTTTGAGGAGGTCCGAGACGGCTCCGGCCAGGTTCTTGGCGGCCTGCAGGAGCTGCCGCCCGTTGCCCCCTTCGTCCTCCATCAGGGCGGCCAGGAGCTTGACCCCCTTGGACATCTCCGTCAGGTTGGAGGAGATGGTGGTGACGGCGCAGCCCACGGCTGTGTAGTCCGTCTCGGCGGGGTCTCCAGCCGTCAGGTTGACCACCGAGGCCGTGCCAGCCGTGATGGCGTCCACCTGGGAGTGGATCTCGTGCTTGGACTCGTCCATCTTGTTCTTGCGCCACGCCTTGGAGGCCTTGGAGGAGAAAGGACCCTCAGTTAGTCAGGAAAAGGGCTTTTGGGGGCCCCGTGGCACACCCCATACCACCTGCGATACTCACCGCATCCTGTCCCAATGGCGGAAGCATCTCGAAGTCGTCCAGGTTGGACTGGGCAGCGTGTACGGCCTGCATGCTGGAGTTGATGGTCCCCGTCAAGGCCTGCTGGGCCGATGTCTACAAGACAAGAAGGATGGAAGGGAAGAAGCATTTGCAATAGTATTGTTGAACTCCAAGGCTGGGAGTCACCTCTGTACTTAACACACACATTCCAGTCCAAGATAATATAATATAATATAATATAATATAATATAATATAATAATGTTCCTTATGTTTTGGTTTTATTTTGTTTTGATGTTGTAAGACTGTAGGTTTTATATAGCAATATTAAATGATCACTCACAAGCCGGTTTTGCTTGGAAATGAATATATTGCTTGTATCTCTGCAGCAAAGAAAGACTACGGACTTTTTCCCACCACCACTTCCTTTTAGACACCTTTCCTGCCCATCTCTACTGCAACGCTCTCTACGTGCAACGCTCTCTACGTGGGGCTGCCCTTGAAGACGGCCCGGAAGCTTCAGCTAGTTCAGCGCGTGGCAGCCATGTTACTAACGGGAGCGGGACGCAGGGAGCATACAATGCCCTTGTTGTCCCAACTTCACTGGCTGCCGATTTGCTACCGGGCCCAATTTAAGGTGCTGGTGTTATCCTACAAAGCCCTAAACGGTTCCGGCCCAAAATACCTTTCGGACCGCATCTTGGCCTATGAGCCCACGAGGGCCTTGAGATCGTCTGGGGAGGCCCTTCTCTCGATCCCGCCTGCCTCACAGGCACGTCTGGCGGGGACGAGAGAGAGGGCCTTCTCAGTGGTGGCCCCCCGGCTGTGGAACACCCTCCCTGTTGACATCAGACAGGCGCCCTCTCTTATGGCTTTCCGGAAGAGCCTAAAGACCTGGCTCTTCGAGAGGGCATTTAACTAGTGCCAGACTAACTGATAATGACAACCGGACTGGAATATGGATTATGAGACTGGTAGGCTCCTATGTTGTGACGGTGCGGATTAGTTAGTATAATTTAGATTGATTGTGTAATTATGGCTTGTTGATGTATTGTGTGTTTCTTTTGTAAACTGTTTTTATATGTTGTACACCGCCGCGAGTCGCCCTAGGGCTGAGAGCGGCGGTCAACAAATGCATTAAATAAATAAATAAATAAATAAATCTCCCCCCTCTTCTCAATTTCCTTATTAGAGCTTGTTGCTTCACAAGTTCCAATACAAGGTTTCCAGGGACTCTGTTGGCTTCAAAATGTCACAGAGAGAAAAGGCAGCCAGGATGTGATGTCTTCATGCCGTCAGAAATTGACTCCTGACAGATGTGTTTTTTTGGGCTTGGCCTCATATAAGCTGCCCCGAGACCCAGTTGGGGGAGATGGTGGCGAGATATAAATAAAGCTTATTATTATATTATTATTGTTATAATATATTGTATATACATATAATATTTATAATATTATAATGTGATGCAATATAATACTAATAATATGATATTATAATTATATATTTATATTACATGTAATATTGCTCATAATATTACAATATAATGGTATAGTACAATACACTAATATTTAATACTGATATTGTACTATGCTAATAATATAATATATTGTATTTATATATATCTTGTAAGCCGCTCTGAGTCCCCTTTGGGGTGAGAAGGGCGGCATAGAAATGTCGTAAATAAATAAATAAACAAAAAACAACACAGTTTATTGAAGAATATTTATAAAAAAACAATTCAGCAGAATAGTATTAAAAAACCAAAGTCCAAATATCAGGAATAATCCATAGAAAGGTAAGGACAGGAATAGCATCAAAAATCAGGAACACAAAAGCAAAATAAATCCAAAACTTAAGATTTGGGAACAGTCCTCAAAACTTGGAATCATGAGACATGAACAAAAGAAAACATGGAACATGGAACTAGAAATCCTTTGACTTGACAACAGATCTATACTCAGACACCAACGTTGCCTGGACTAATGGACCCATCTGCTGGGCTAGCAGATATAGAGAGAAAACCATGCCTTCTCCCCTGGGAAATTGATAAGGACTTCTTCGTAAACCCTCATGAGAAGTCCTGTGTTGACGGAACATAAATCTCCTATCGAACTGCTCATTAGTCTGTCCACCTGGACTTTCATTTTCATCCTCTCAGCTCAGATCTGCTCGTGAGCTTGCTTCCCTAGCAAACTGCCCTTTAGGAATGTGGCCTTCAGACACAGACTGCTCGTTTTCAGGACTTAAAATCTCTTGCTGACTGGCAGACCCAGAATCCCCAGTGTCATCAGAATGACTTGCAGGTCCAGAAACCCCAGATCAATCAAAGGCTGAACTACAAGATGTATACAGAGAGCAACAAGGGACAGAAGGAACCCCGTGGGGCAGGCCTCCTGTCTGGTTATTCACCACTATTTCTTAGAGCCATGTCACTCAAGGGGTTTAGCTTCCTGCCTGGACTGGACAGGTCATTTCCCCCTCCTTCTTCCCAGAAGCCTTTAGTGCTTTATTAGCCTTTGTTTAAGAAGAAACATGAACTTTCCCCGCTTTCTGATGCCCACGGGCCTTTCTTCCTTCCTTCTTTCCTTCGGCCAAAGAGGCCTGGGCTCCTTACCAGGGGGGGCATGTGCCCCCGGTGCATCTGTCCACTGGTGACCTGCTGCTGGGCCTGGGGCATGGAGCCCATCTGGAAGTTCTCGGGGCCCCCGGCCCCTGGGCGGATGAGGGCGCGGAGGGCCACCGAGCCATGCTCCGCCTTGTGCGTCTGGTTGAACTGCTGCTGCAGGACGGTCGACCTGAGGGGGGTAGGGAAGGAGGCGGGTGAGGGAGAGATTAATTATTATTAAGGAGGGGGGCGACCCCTGCCCCCCTCCTTAATCATCATCATCATCATCATCATTATCTATATACATAAAAATGTAATGTTCGTTTGTGGGGTTAACATAGCTCAAAAACCACTGGACGAAATGACACGAAATTTGGACACTACACCCCTAACAGACCAAAGAGTGACCATCACTCATAACCCTCCCCCCCCCCCCAAAAAAGTGGAAAGGACTTAAAAGCGAAATGACGAAAAGCTAAATGGTGATACAGAAAAAAAGGGAAGAGGGAGGGAGGGAGGAAAGAAGCATGGAAGCAAAGAGTGAAGGAAGGAAGGAAAGAGGTAGAGAAGGAAAGAGAAAGAGGAAAAGAAAAAGGGGGAAGGAAAGAAAGGTAGAGAAGGAAGGAAGGAGAGAAGGAAAGAAAAGAAAGGAAGGAAAGAGGGAGCGAAGGACAGAGGGAAAGAGATAGAGAAGGAAGAAAGGGGAGAAAGGGAAGGAAAAGAAAAAGGAAAGAGGTAGAGAAGGAAGGAAGGGAGGAAAGAAGGAAGGAAGGAGAGAGAGAGAGAGAGAGAAAGAAAGAAAGAAAGAAGCATGGAAGGAAAGAGCGAAGGAAAGAAGGAAAGAGGAAGAGAAGAGAAAGAGGAAAATAAAAAGGGGGAAGGAAAGAAAAAAGGAAAGGAAGGAAAGAGGGAGCAAAGGAAGGAGGGAAAGAGGTAGAAAAGGAAGAAAGGAGAGAAAGGGAAGGAAAAGAAGAAGGAAGGAAGGAAAGATGTAGAGAAGGAAGGAAGGAGAGGACGAAAGAGAGAGAGAGAGAGAGAGAGAATGAAAGAAAGAAAGAAGCATGGAAGCAAAGAGCGAAGGAAAGAGGGAGAGAAGGAAGAGAAAGAGGGGGGGGGGGAAGGAGAGAAGGAAGAGAAGGAAGGAAGGAAGGAAGGGAGGGAATGAATGACCCTCGTTTATCTCAGTGGCAGGATAGCATGTCACTCCCCAATGCACTCAACTTAAGGACATGTCCTTGCTGCGAACTTAAGGTGTCTTTTCCCTCAGGTAGAAAAGGAAGAAAGGAGAGAAAGGGAAGGAAAAGAAGAAGGAAGGAAGGAAAGATGTAGAGAAGGAAGGAAGGAGAGGACGAAAGAGAGAGAGAGAGAGAGAGAGAATGAAAGAAAGAAAGAAGCATGGAAGCAAAGAGCGAAGGAAAGAGGGAGAGAAGGAAAGAAGAAAAGGGAAGGAAGAAAGGAAAGAGGGAGTGAAGGAAGGGGAGAAAGGAGAGAGGAAGGGAAGGTTGGCCACAGCAACGCGTGGCGGGTACAGCTAGTAATAATAATAATAATAATAATAATAATAATAATAATAATAATAATAATTTATTTGTATTCCTATCTCTCTCCCTCTCTCCCTGAGGGGACTCAGGGTGGATTCCAACATAACAATGGCAAACATTCAATGCCTACATAAAACACATGATTATGACATAAAATCCCAGAAAAATCCCACATATAAAAGTAGCATTAAAACCTGACATCAAATTAAATACCTAAAATCAGTAAATTAAATTTGACATCAATCAATTAAACTACATATAGTCAAACAAAATTCTATAACAACATAAATCTAAACACAACATCCACATTAGTGTACAACAGCCAGCAAGGGTTCACAACACAGTGTGGGCTGGTTATGTGGTCATTGGGCAGGTGTGGACCAGGGAAGCCTCAATACAAATAGTTTCAACCAGAGGCCCAACAATGATCTCTCAACCATCGAATCCTCTTCCTCTCCATATGCTAGGGAGCAAAAGGAGGTCTTTGGTTGTTTTTTAAAGGAGAGGAAGGAGGGGGCCAGCTTTATTTCGGGCCCCGCCTTTCTCCAAGATCGCATCTCCTTCTATGAACCGGCGTGAGCTCTAAGATCTTCTGGGGAGACCCTCCTCTCGGTCCCACTACCGTCTCAAGCGCAGTTGGTGGGGATGAGAGAGAGGGTCTTCTCAGTGGTGGCCCCCCGCCTCTGGAACGCCCTTCCAAGGGAAATAAGACAGGCCCCATCCCTCCCCTCCTTTCGTAAGAGCTTGAAGACCTAGTGGTTTCAACAAGCCTTTGAAAATGACCAGTTCTAACTCAGTCTTACATATTGTTGAATACGGCCTTATTCTTCCTACCAATTACCCAAATCTTTTCCTCTAATCGGCCCCGGATTGATCATATAAATAATACATAGAGTAATACATATAAAAACACAAAAAAACTGATTTAAAATTAGTTTTAAAATAAAAAGTACATACGTAGAAACAAATTCAGCGAACACAACACAATTGGAAGCCTGCCCATAGTCCATTTTCCATAACATAACCACAGAGAAGGCCCTCTCTCTCGTTCCCACCAGCCGTGCTTGGGATGGGGGTGGGACTGAGAGCAGGGCCAACTCTGATGACCGCAATACGCAGACAGTTTGTAAGAGGAGATTGCTGACCCTCCCGCCTAAATGATCCCTGTGACCCCTTCTGGGCAGACCCAGCCCCCTCCCCTGTGCACCCACACCCCCGCCCAGCACCCACGAGGCCTTACTTTTTGGGGGAAACGGAGTCTTCGAGCATGGTAGACTCCTCGTCGCCCTCCAGGCCAAAGTGGTCTTTGCTCTTTTTCTGCAGGTCAGAGAGAAAGACAGAGCAGCTGCGGTCACTCTCCGCTTTCCCCACTGCTATCCCAATCTCCCCCCCCCATCCTGAATCAGGCCGTTCAGATGCCCCCACCCCCTGGCCCTGTACCTTCTTCAGGATGATGTCAATGTAGCCGGCAATCAGCTGGGCAATTTGCTCCCCTTCGGTGGTCTGCACAGAGTAGTAGCCGTCCTGGTAGTCTCCAAAATCCTGTTGCGGCGAAGCAAGAACAATTGGCAAAATGGGAAAAGGCAGGAGTGCGCCGTCTTGGGTCCCACCCCCCCAAGGGACGTCCTGGCCCTTCTCCCTCTTGAGCCCCCAACGGAAGGGGGACAGAGGTGAGCTGCAATTCACGCTGGGGGTCAGAAAAGAGTGTGGCAGGGCAAGTGGAAAGGAAGAGGAGGAGGAGGAGGAAGGCCAGCCCTGGAATCAGGAGGACTGACCAGGGTGAAGCTCTTGGGGGAGGCGGCCCAGCGCTTGATGTTGGTGAGGCTCCACTCCTGAATGACCTCCTTGGTCTTCTCGTCCACCCGCATCACGCACTCCTTGGTGATGCCCAGCAGGCGCGGGACCAGCTTGTTCTTGCCTTTCATCTTCTCCTGCAGGAAGGAAGGTCAGGACGAGGTCAAGGGTGGTCATCTTCAGCAGAGACCTGTCCACAAGCCCCATAAGATAAGCTCTCACCACCAACACAGGCACATACATGTCTCCCCAGGACTCACCTTGACCAGGAAGAAGGAGACGCCGTAGGTCTTGAGGGAGCGAGCTAACTTCACGTAGCGCACCTTGGCTTCAATCTCACTCATGTTGCCACAGTTCTTGTGGGCCTGAGAGGAGAGGAGAGATCAACACAAAAGGCCCCTGAGCCCCAAAGAGGCCTTCCTTCCCCTTCAGCCCTTGGTCTGGCCATGCTCCCTGGCCCTCCTTTGCACCACCAGAAGCACTCCACAGACCTTCAGGGAAAGTGCTCTGCAGAATACCCACCACTGTCACAATCGCGGTTGGTGGGGACGAGAGACAGGGCCTTCTCGATGGTGGCTCCCCGGCTTTGGAACTCCCTCCCACAGGAGATTAGAACTGCTCCCTCCCTCCTGACGTTCAGGAAGCTAACAAAGACTTGGCTCTGGAATGCGGCCTTTGACAACTGAGTCAACTTTGGTCCACATGGAAGGAGAATGAATAACTGTGAATTATGACCAGGAATGCTTTGACGACGTGGCTATGTGAGTGTGATGATGACGATGTTGTATTGTAATATGTTTTTAATTGTGTAATGATGATGCATTGTGTGGTTTGTATCTTTGTATATGAACACATGTTGTGAACCGGATCTGAGTCCCTCTTGGAGGTGAGAAGATCGGTATAGAAAACGTATAAATAAAATAAAATAAAATAAAATAAATACCTGGATGGTGTGCAAACTCCATTCTCATAGTTAGCTGAATGTGCCCAAAATCAAAGTGTTCTGAGACTGACCCTCTTCTGAACTACAGGGCAGGAGTCTCACAATATTTTGTCCTTAACAAGCAACATATATTTATAAATTTTATATATATTCAACAGTGGAACTCTCTGCTTCAGAGTCCGGTGGAAACACCTTCCTTGGGAGGCTTTTATTTATTTATTATTTATTTAAAACTTTTATATCCTGATGTTCTCACCTCCGTAGAGGGGCTCAAGGAAGTGAGGACGGGTGGCCATCTGTTGTGGGGGGTGGGTGGGCTTTTCCTACACGGCAGAAGGGGTCAGACTAGATGGCTCATGTGCTCCCTTCCAACTCTATTATTGTATACACACACACACATATTATACACAAACACAGCATTACACAGACACGCATACACACACAATATTATACACACACATATGTACACACACAAAGTATTATACACACATGTATACATACACACACAAATACATACACGCAGAGTATTACACACACACACATACAATATTATATATACACACACACTTATGCACACACAAAGTATTATACACACGCACACAATATTATACACACATATGTACACACACAAAATATTACACACACATATATGTACACACACAAAATATTACACACACACATATATACACACAAAATATTATACACACACATATAGGCACACACACACAATATTATACACACACATATATACACACACAAAATATTATACACACACATATGTACACACACAAAATATTACAAACACACATATATACATACACATATATACACACACACAATATTATACACACACATATGTACACACACAAAATATTATACACACACATATATACACACACAAAATATTATACACACACATATATACACACACACAATATTATACACACACATATGTACACACACAATATTATACACACACATATATACACAAACAAAATATTATACACACACATATATACACACACACAATATTATACACACACACATGTACACACACAATATTATACACACACATATATACACACACAAAATATTATACACACACATATATACACACACAAAATATTATACACACATATATATATACACACACACATATATACACACACACATGTACACATACACACACAAATATATACATGCACAGTATTACACACACACACAATATTATATATACACACATACACTTATACACACACATAAAGTATTACACACACACACATATATATATAGTAAGACTCTATCTTTGTGTAGGGTTGTGAAGTTTTCTTCCCAATAAGATACACATGTTTTACTACTATTAGAAGGTGGAAAACTACTCCTAGAATCATAGAATCCTAGAATCAAAGAGTTGGAAGAGACCTCCTGGGCCATCCAGTCCAACCCCATTCTGCCAAGAAGCAGGAATATTGCATTCAAATCACCCCTGGCAGATGGCCATCCAGCCTCTGCTTAAAAGCTTCCAAAGAAGGAGCCTCCACCACACTCCGGGGCAGAGAGTTCCACTGCTGAACGGCTCTCACAGTCAGGAAGTTCTTCCTCATGTTCAGATGGAATCTCCTCTCTTGTAGTTTGAAGCCATTGTTCTACATCCTAGTCTCCAGGGAAGCAGAAAACAAGCTTGCTCCCTCCTCCTCCCTGTGGCTTCCCCTCACATATTTATCCATGGCTACCATGTCTCCTCTCAGCCTTCTCTTCTTCAGGCTAAACATGCCCAGTTCCCTAAGCCGCTCCTCATAGGGCTTGTTCTTTGGCAGCTTTATTTACCAATAGTTATAACTTGCACACTTTGGAAATAATGCAAAACAACCCCTTTTCAAAATGAACGGGAGGGGGCATGCCTTCAGGGCCAGGCCAAAGCATCTCGCGGGGCCCCGCAAGAGAAGGGACCGTGGCCCCAGGCGCCTCCGTCCCCCCACTCACCATGAAGATCTTGCGCTCCCCCTTCTGCTTGATGTACTCCTTGGGCAGGAAGTCCCTCAGGCTGGAAAAAGGAGAGAAGAAGGCAAGTGGAGACATCAGATAGGGTCCAAGTGAGTTAGCAGAATGGCTCATCACATAGGAATTGGAAGCAAGGCCATAGGGCAAGGGCTTCACCAGGTAGGATCCAGTGCAGATTAACATGGATCTGTCCCCCCCCCCCCCCCCCCCCCCCCCCAAGACAGGCCACACTCCAGGAATCCCGGCTTGTGCTTCTGTTCGTTGTGGGACCCAAACTGGACCTGGCACTGGTAGCCGGCAAACTCGCAGGCCTTGTCGAAGGAGACCGGGTGGGAGCCGTTCAGGATGTCGTCACGGGCCTGCAATGTTTTTTTGGGGGGGGGGGCAGTTAGCCAGAGGCATGCACACCCCCCCCCCCCCCCGTCATTATGACCAGAATCAAGCCCCTGACCTGTCAGAATGTGTCAATTACTCAGCATTTGTTCAAGTGCTGTGTTGGGACTCAGCCTGTGTGTGAACCTGAGCCTGAATCTCTGATTGTATTGCCTAATGCTGATGCCAATGTTGATGGGCCTAGTTTGGATAGTGAGGCGGAAGTGATCAATGAGGACGAGGCTCAAGATGGAGACACTTTGGGCAGTAAAAATCCTACATGCGTTGATTTAGAGGCTTCAAGGGAAAAGCCAAGTTCTCATGAGAAAGTTTCTCTCAGACCGAGAGAATTCACTCCCTTCTCCTCCTGGCCTGAGCTTGCAAGATAACGTGACACCTGGTTGGGTCAATGATAACAGCCGCAGTTTGGAGATAAGCCAGAACCGCAGGGAGGCTCAATGTTTACGTGGGTCCGAGAGAATCCGGCAACTGAAACCAAATATTAGAGTTAGCCGGAATCAGTTTTTGGGATTTAAGAGTGCCTGTGAGGGGGATTTCCTCAGACCAAGCATCGTTTAGTATCAAGTACAAACCTCCTGGGTTTTCCAGTTTCCAGTGGTCTGGTCTCTAAGGGAATTTCTGGTGTCAAGTGAGATTGAGCAGGGGCTAAATCTGTTCATGGATTTCTATTGAGAGTATTCTCTCTCACTTTCCCCTCCTTCCCTTCCTTTTGTCTTTCTTTCCTTTATCCTTCACTTCCTTCCTTCCATCCTTCTCTTTATCCCTTCCTTCTCTCTTTCCTTCCTCCTTCCCTCCCTCTTTCCTTCCCATCCACTCTTTTGTCCTTCCTTACTTCTTTCCTTCCTCCTTCCACCCATCCTTTCCTTCCACCCTTTCATTCTTCCCTCCTTCTCTCCCTTTTGCCTTTCCTTCCCTCTTTCCTCCCTCCTTCCCTCAATCCCTCTTTCTCCTTCCATTCTTCCCTCCCTTTCCCCTTCCTTCCTTCCCTTTTGTCATTCTTTCCTTCTCTCTTTCTTTTATCCTTCCTTCCTTCCATCCTTCTCTTCCTTTCTTTCTTTCTTCCTTCTTCCTTCCATTCTTCCCTTCCACCGTTTCATCCTTCCTTCCCTTTTGTCTTTATTTCCTTCCCTCTATCTCCCTCTACGTCCCACCCTGGAGTCTGAGATCATCTGGGGAGGCCCTGCTCTCGACCCCACCATTGTCACAAGTGAGGCTGGTGGGGACGAGGAGCAGGGCTTTCTCAGTGGTGGCCCCTCACCTGTGGAATTCACTCCCGGGGGAAATCAGGGAATCACCATCCCTCCTCGCCTTCAGGAGGAGGGTGAAGACGTGGTTATGGGACCAGGCCTTTGGGCACGCTGGCAATTAAATCAGACAATCAGGCGAGTATGTCCAACAGGATTGATGAAGTGGAACGTAAAACTAGAACTATGAGTTAGCGAACGCTGACCACGTAAGAGGAGAAATTGGGTTGGTATTGGTTTTTATTGATTTTATTGATTTTATGGTTATAATGCATGAATTGTTGTTAACTGTGAATTGATGTAATTTTGTGTATGATTGTTTTATGATGCAGGCATCAAATTGTGCCTTTGCCTTGTAAGCCGCCATGAGTCCCCTTCGGGGTGAGAAGGGCGGGGTAAAAGAACCCCAAATAAATAAATAAATAAATAAATTCCCTCTTTCCTCCTCCCTCCCTCTTTCTCCTTCCATCCTTCCCTTCCTCCCCTTTTGTCCCTCCTTCCTTCTCTCTTTCCTTCCTCTTTCCCTTCCTTCCATCACTGGGCACCCAGTCCTCCTAGCAGAGAGTGCTAGCATGCAGCCCCCAGTCAGAAGGTTTGGCCAGTCCTGCTGCAAATACTATATTTGTTTTTCTATTATTATTCCTGCAACTTAAGAAAGAAAAGCCTCCCGATTGGTCTCGTGCCTCCATGGTGTTGTTTTTATTCCTGAGAGGAGAGACCACTTCACCGCAATAAATTATTTGGAGGGAAGAAGGGAAGAGCCCTTTCCACTCTACAACAGGGAATTTCAAGCTGATTTGAACCCCTGACATGACCCACCACTATCTCCGGGGCCCAGGGCTCCAGGAAAGGTCACGACCCGGCCTGAAGGACACACACTTCGGGGGGCGGGGGGGGGGGGGTCAATGGGGAGGAAGCCCACCTGGACGTAGAGGAGGTTGAGCTGCACCGGGTCCCGCGAATCCACGTTCTGGTCGGAGTAGAAGAACTTGCGCCGGAGGAGGAGCGTCTCGCTGTCGTCGATGCCCTGCTCCCTCAGCGTGCGGCCATGGTCCAGCCAGTTGACTGGACAAAGAGGAAGAGGAGGAGGAAGGCAGTGAGGGGTGGGGGTCGGGTGTTAGGGTTACTAATAAGGATGAAGGACTCAGGGGCAAGCAAAGGAGGAGATTCCTCAGCCAGACCCTGAGGAATCTCCCCCTGCAGAGCAAGACCAGGAGCCTCAGGGAAGCAGACCAGGAGGTAAGCCTTCCAACTATGAAGGCTGCAATTAAGAACGGGTGCCACCCAACCAAGGAGATCTAATGGGTTGGCTCAGAGGAGGGACGAGTGATGAGAGCACTTGGGAAAGTGGCATAAAGAGCTGGAGGCTGGAGCAAAACACCTCTATGGATCTCCCCAGTGGGAGCACATCAGAGAAGACTTTTGTCAGGTTTTACAATGTATTGTAATGTAACATAGCTGAGTCATGCACTGCTAATACTTCTATTGGAAATGCTGAGTCATGCATTAACTGTGTATAGAACTTCATTTGGGGAATGTGTTCTGGCCTGGTCCAGGTGATTGTGAATGATGTAATCCTGGGTCTGAGTTAAGTTAATGAGTTGGGAACCAATCAGAGATTGCTATGTGTAATTGTATAGAATTGTATATAAGGAAGTCATGTACAGTGTGTATTTCTCTCCTTGTGCTGTGATGTTGTTTGCCGAAGGCTCTATGTAATTGATTAAAAGAACCTGTCTGCTAAGACAAGATATAACTGTGTGCTGTGGTAAGTTTGTAGTGTCATCTAGATTGGGGGGGAAAACAATAGTAAAACTGACAATGGCCGGGCATGTGCTCAAGTGCCTGTAAAAGAGTTCCAGAGTGACTGCAGTTTGTGGGAGCAGTTGACTGAAAATACTGTGCAGGAAGAAGCTACTTGGCAGATTTCCCTGTTTCCCGTGGCCTACATCCCAAGAGGCTTCTTGTCCTCCAAATACGGTTAGTGATTTGCTAACAGGTTCCAGGTTTTTACAGTGTTGCTTTTGGAATTTTGATCTAATTCATGGATATTCCTGACTGCTGAATTTTACTGTGGCTTTTTGACTTTGCATTTTCCTCTATTTTGTAACCATTTTGCATCAATAAAAAGGGATTGTTTTTGCCACAGTCAAATATGGTGGATTGTTATCTTATGGTCTCGTTTCCTGCTCTGGATTGCAAAACATGCGGGGAATGCAGAAGTGCTTCATCAGCGTCGCAGATGGATGATGAAAGCGACAGCTCCCCTGGCGGCCAGAAAAAAGTTAAATAGCCTCTGTGTATGTCTGTATATGTTTGTATGTCAAAATTGGCATTGAATGTTTGCCATATATGTGTACACTGTGATCCGCCCTGAGTCCCCTGCGGGGTGAGAAAGGCGGAATATAAAAGGTGTAAGTAAATAAATAAATAATAAATAGGATTGTGTCTCCTGCATTTACCTGAAGATCTTTGGGACTGTATCCTGCATTTAACCTACATCTTTGGAACTTTGCAATGCTTATTCTTTATTCTGACTTGGATTTTTTTCCTCAATAACCTGTAAAACTACAGCTCTTGTGTGGTGGTGTTTGGAAGCAAGGTGAAGCCTACTCTGAGTTGCAACACCACCTGCCCTTTGCCCGTTCCCTCCCCCCACTCTCTGCCCGCAACTTACGCTCGTCGTCCGTGTGCAGCTTCTGCTTGAGCTTCTCCATCTTCTTCTCGTCACGGAGGAGGGTCTTGTCCTTCTTGAGGGTCCCCGTCTGCTCCTCCTTCTTCTCCTCCGCCAGTTCCCGCACCAGAGAGTACTCATCGTAGTTGGTAATGCCTGTGGGCAAGGAGGAGGGAACAATGTTTGCCGTGAGAAGAGGGGGAGGGGCAGCAGTGGACACTCCACCTGGCACAATGGTCACCCAACCCAGATGTTCAGCAGACCTTTGTTCTACTCCAGGCATCGGCCAACTTTGGTCCTCCCTTTAGGTGTTTTGGACTAACAGCCAATAGGCTGTTAGGAATTGTGGGAATTCAAGTCCAAAACACCTGGAGGGAGAACCGAACTTGGCCAATGCCTGTTCTATACACCGGATTGGTTAATTAAGGGCTTTGGTGCCTCTTACCAATCCTGGCGCAAATGGTCATGAGCATATCCGTGACTGTCTTGGAGTCGTCCACCATGACCGTCTTGACCGTCCCGTCCAGCATGCGGATCTTCAGTGGGCGCTGCTTCTTCTTGTATTCCATGGTGTCCTGAGAAATTGAGGGGAAGGGTATTTAATGATGGAGAGGTCAAGCCACCTGAATACAAGGAGCAAATGGGAGCCATGGGCCTGAATGGCCATCTATCCTGGTCAGTCCCAGAAGCAGTGCGTGTTTGAACAATATCACTTGAGCATATATTCTCATGCAGAGCAAGGTCCAAGCTGACCAGGGCTCTTGGTCCAATCCAGACTCAGCACTGGCCTTCTGGGAAACCCCTTGAGGCAGCTGGCACAATGTTTTGCCTCCTAGAAGCAGAAGCAGAGACTCACCCCATTGCGGAGCATGTAGTAGTCCAGAGCCTTCCCAGCCTCCAGCCAGATGCCTTTCTTTGGATCTTCATCGGACAGAAAGAGGCCAAAATCGTTGGCTGGAAAACAGAAGAACAGCATCACAAATGTCCCGTCAGAGACACAGGCCTACATTTTGCAATTGCATTCTAAGCACCCTGCCCTGGGGTGTGGTGGAAGCTCCTTCCTTGGAGGCTTTCAAACAGGGGCTGGATGGCCATCTGTTGGGGTGCTTTGAATGCAATTTTCCTGCTTCTTGGCAGAATGGGATTGGACTGGATGATGGCCCACCAGGTCTCCTCCAACTCTAGGATTCTATTGTATGGTTCCCACTTTAAAAGTCATGTCCTGGTCAAGTTTTGCTTTAAGTCTTGGGGATTTTACCATGAACTCAAGCTCATGTACTGTTCTTTGATTCTTGGATCATTTAAGTGGATGTTTTATTCCTCGTCTTTGGATTATTCAAGCTCATGAGTTTACCCTGCTCCTTTTGCTCTGGGTCTGGAGGGAAAGCCTAGAACCCCCCCCCACCCCTTGAGCCTAGGAGGGAAAGCCTAGAACCCCCCACCCCTTGAGCCTGTGCCAGAGGCCTGGGGAGGAAGTTGTTCTTGTTGTTGTTGAAATCCTGTGCCATTTGGACTCACGTTGCCCCATCTGCGCCTCGGGCACCCGCTCCCGGATGATGCGGCAGGCGTCGTAAACCATGGTGGAGGGCTCGAACTGCATGGTCTTCACCGCGTTCCCAATGCTGATCTTGAGCGACAGGGCGACCATGATGGCGGCTGGCGGGTCCCCTCTCCTGCTTCACCTAGGATCGGAAGGAAGGAAAGGAAGAGAGAAGAGGAAAAGGAAAGGGAGTTAGAACCTTTTGTGCTTTCTGAGGGGTGCATTTCCCATCACATCCCCATCTGAAGCCCCTCTTAAAGGTGTCCCTACAATCCAATGAGCCTCGCAAGTGGAGGAAGAGTGCGGCAATGAGTCTCCCATTTGGAAAAGCCTTGTGTCCATTTCTGGGCATCACAATGCAAGAGAGAAAATGGACATGCTAAAAGGGGTCCAAAGAAGTGTTAGAGCTATAAGAAGAATCGCAGAAGCACTGAATAATGGACTCTGGAGTCACCGGTAAAAAGCGTGTTTCAGCTTTACTTGAGCAGTTCGTAAATCCAACACATACCATCAGCGAACAGACGGGAAGAACACAAAATGAAAGAGATAGGCACTAAAGACAAACTGCAGCTGGAAAGGAGTTACCTCTGACACTCCCTAATTCTTCAGACAGCAAGAAACTCAGGGTCACATTCTCACAGCTCTTATTGTGTAAACATACATCCTGGCCATACAAATCTATTACAGTCTATTACAATCACAATCCTATCACATAAAATTGCATTGAAACATACATCATACATAAATCATACACTGACCAGAAGATGACTGAAATGGGCAAAGGTTTGTCTGTTCCTCTTCTGCAGAATGATACTATGATGGAGGGACAAGGGAAAAGCCAACAACAAAAAGGGGCATAGAGGATGGATGCCATTCAATGCCAAAGGCAAGCAGAGGATTTTGGAAAATGGCATTCATAACCTTTTGTAAGGTATTGTTGGAGTTGTTGTTTCAAGACTAAGGTGCTTTAGATGTGGGGAATGATGTCAATGAGGGTCAAGATGGCAATGGTCTGGTCAATGATATTAACGCAGAGAATTTATTTATTTATTTATTTATTTATTTAGAGCTTTTATAACCCAGTCTTCTCGACCTCCGAGGAGGGACTCAGGCCGGCTAACAACAGAAAATCAATATACAATTAAACTAAAGCATAATAACATCATAGTACATTAATACATTAAAACACATTAAAATACAGATCAAGAATTACATAAAGCCAATTCGTCAAGGTAAATCACAAATTCACCACCATCCGCCTTGTGGTCAACAGTTATTGATTCGATCATCAATCTGAGAATGCTAAGTTCCAGAGCCAAGATTTTACCATCTTTCTGAAAGTGTGGAAGGAGGGGGCAGATCCGATCTCTATCGGGAGAGAGTTCAACAGCCGAGGGGCCACCACCGAGAAGGCCGTGTCTCTCGTCCCCACCAGCCACGATTGCAAAGGTGGTGGGACCGAGAGCAGGGCCCCTCCAGAAGATCTTAACAACCTTGAAGGTTCGTAGGGGAGAATCCGTTCGGACAGGTCAACGGGCCGGAGTCGTTTAGGCTTTATAGGTCAACACCAGCACTTTGAATTGTGCTCAGAAGCCGATTGGCAGCCAGTGGAGCTGATGCAACTGAGGAGTAGTAGGCTCTTTGTACCCTGCTCCTGTTAGTAATCTGGCTGCCGCATGTTGGACTAGTTGTAGCTTCCGGGCAGTCTTCAGAGTCAACCCCACGTAGAGAGAGTTGCAGTAGTCTATACGGGATGTAATCAGAGCGTGGACCACCGTGGCCAAGTCAGACTTCCCAAGGTACAGGCGCAGCTGGCGCACGAGTTTTAATTGTGCAAAAGCTCTCCCGGCCACCGCTGAGACCTGGGGTTCCAGGCTCAGCGATGAGTCCAGGATCACTCCCAAACTGCGAACCTGCGTCTTCAGGGGGAGTGCGACCCCATCCAGCACAGGCTGTCACCCTATGCCCTGTTCGGCCTTGCGACTGACCAGGAGGACCTCTGTCTTGTCTGGATTCAATTTCAATTTGTTCGCCCTCATCCAGACCGTTACAGCGGCCAAGCACCGGTTCAGGACCTGGACAGCCTCCTTAGTAGCAGGTGGAAAGGAGTGACAGAGTTGGACATCATCTGCGTACAGATGACACCGTACCCCGAAACTCCGGATGATCTCCCCCAACGGCTTCATGTATATGTTAAACAACATAGGGGACAGTACTGAACCCTGCAGGACCCCACAGAACAACGGCCGCGGAGTCGAGCAGGAGTCCCCTAGCAACACCTTCTGGGAGCGACCCTCAAGGAAGGACTGGAGCCACTGCAAAGCAGTACCCACGAGGCCCATTCCCACAAGGCGTCCCAGGAGGATACCGTGGTCGACATAGAAACACCGGTTCAAAGTGTAGTTTCCCATGAGAATGTTCCTACAGGGTATAGGGATGATAGTTTACTCCCTGAATTGCTCCCAGAGAGTTCCCAGGATTTAGGGCTTGAAAACAACTTGGCACCTGGAGACACTAATGAGCATATAGACAGGCGGGTGGAAATTAGCCAAAACAGACAGCTCATCCAAGGCCTTCGCCATTCTGCCAGGCTTCGAGAGATAGGGGTGAGAGGCATTCAGGGAAAACGAAACCAATTTCTGAGCGCTTGGAATGGCTTAACATGGGGATATAAAGTTCCAAGCCTGGGAAATATAGTCAGATGAAGAATCGTTTTAGAATCCTGCTAAGTTCTTGCTCTTGTCTTATGGAAGCCTTGCTTGGAAGATTAATGTTTAAGGATTTCTTGTTGATGGTTTGACTCTCTGTCTCTTGTGATTACCGTATATTCCGGCATATAAGGCGACTGGGAGTATAAGACGACCCCCAACTTTTCCAGTTAAAATATAGAGTTAAGACGGCTCCCATGCATAAGACTACACCCGTGTATAAGACGACCCCTGACTTTTGAGAAGATTTTCTTGGGTTAAAAAGTAGTCTTATACGCCAGAATATACTGTATATACTCATGCTTCAGATCAATGTTTTCCTGGCTCTTTGTATTTTATTAGAGAAGTCTGGACTTTGTTTTGAACTTTGCTGAACCCTACCTTGGAATACTTTGTTCCTGCTTATCTTCCTACCTAATTGGATTTACCTATTTTCTTAACGTGTTTTGTTTTACCTTGCTGTTTTTACTTATCTTCAATAAAAAAAAAGGATTGCTTTACTACTCAACGTGTGGAGTTTTAAAGGCAGAGGGTTATTCCTGTTCTGAGAAGAGTTAAAAACTTGCTTGCGTCAACCTTCTCCTAAATATCCACCAGCATTCATGCAAGGCAATTGGGTTTCCCAGTTGTTAAGACTGATATACCTAGATATCTCTTTGAACTGTTAGGAACAAAGATATGCCAATGCACAGAAAACAGCAGAATTTCAGAAGTATTCTTTTCAGTTTCCCAAAAACATCTAGTCTCCCTTAAATTATATTGCTTCTAAATCACGCTCTCAAGAAACAAAAATAAAGTAGTTTTTAAAAGTGACATAGTTTGCTCACAAACTTCATGTATTCAGCACAGAGGCACATTCCATTTCAATCCAGTTCCAGATAGATTTGAAGTAGTTTCTTCATGAAGGTAACTCAGGGCATCTTTCATCTAATCAACAGTCTATAGTCTAAAGCAGCGTTTCTCAACCTGTGGGTCCCCAGATGTTTTGGCCTTCAACTCTCTCTTGTGGGGTTCCTCAGGGGGCCATTCTCTCCCCTCTGTTGTTTAAACATCTCTATGCGCCCACTTGCTCAGCTGGTCCGAGGTTTTGGGCTGGAGTGTGACCAGTATGCTGGCACTCAGCTGGTGCTGAAGATGGAAGGCCGACCAGACTCTGTACCCAATTGTTTCCATCAGTGCCTCGAGGCCGTGACTGGACGGCTGCGTGCCAGCAGGCTGAGGGTGAATCCAGCAAAGACGGAGATCCTATGGCTGGGTCAACCGGGCAGTGGGGATGTCCAGCTGCCTACCCTGGATGGCGAGGCGCTACGCCCGTCATCGTTGGTCAAGAGCCTGGGAGTCCTTTTGGACCCTCTGCTGAGGATGGAGGCCCAGGTCTCTCTCCGCCGTGAGCAGAACCGCCTTCTTTCACCTGCGGCAGGCTAGACGGCTGGCCCCCTCCCTGTCCAGGGACAACAGAGGTACGGTCATCCAGGCCACGGTCATCTCAAGACTGGACTACTGTAACACCCTCTACATTGGCCTTCCTCTGTCAGTGATCCGGAAACTCAAGTTGGTACAAAATGCAGTTGCTCGGCTTCTTTTGGGAATTCCAATGAGATGCCACATCACCCCAATCTTACCCATTGAGCACCGGATCACTTTCAAAGGGATGGGACTCACCTTGAAGGCCTTGCATGGTCTGGGGCCGATGTACCTGAGGGACCACCTCACCCCCTCCAACCCCAGAGATCCCTCCGTTCTGAGGACCAAGATCTATTGGAAATTCCAGTGTCAAGACCTTGCGTCTAACAGCAACCAGACGCAGAGCCTTCACAGCAGTGGCACCATCACTCTGGAATACTCTGCCACCTGAAGTCCGTGCCTTGCGGGACTTATCAGCTTTCCGCAGGGCATGTAAGACATATCTTTTTCGACGGGCCTTTGATATTGCTATTTTTAAATTGTTTTAAATTGTTTTAAAATTGTGTTAGATTTTAGCCGTTCTTGTAAGCCGCTCCGAGCCCCAGGGGAGTGGCAGCAGATAATAATAAATAATAATAATATAATATTTGAATAATAATAAATAAATAAATAAATAAACTCCCAGAAATCCGAACAGCTGTCAAACTGGCTGAGATTTCTGAGAGTTGTAGGTCAAAACACCTAGGGACCCACAGGTTGAGAACCACTGGTCTAAAGCATCGCTCTGTTCTGAGAGTCTAGTGGCTTCTCTATCTTTCGAAAACGGAGTCTGAGTCCTGAATAGTCCCAGATCTGGTCACACAGTCTGCAGCCCATCCCACAAGGTAGAGTTAAGGGAAAACGACATGCCAATTCACACATATACAATAGAGTAAGCAATCTTAATTATAGACATAACAACTAGTATAGGAGGCTTGTAGAAGGTTGCTACTTCCAACAGAACCATCGCCCCCAATGCAGTTGTTCACTT